CACCAGGACAGTTGTAGTCCCACCCAGGTCTTTACTTTGCGAGATACAGCCGGTCACTCTTCAAGGTCCGCCAACTTGTCTGCCAGTAGACTCTACGACACTTATGGACCAAGTGGAGATAGAAAAAGAGGGACTTACATCTGATGAATTCCAGAAAGGACTTGATGTCATCATGAAGTTTAAGGATATCTTCTCTAAGCATGATGAAGATCTTGGGCACTCTGACTTAGTTCATCATCGAATAGATCTTGAAAATTCCACTCCTTTCAAGCAGAGACATAGGCGCATCCCTCCAGCAATGTACGAGGAAGTCAGAACACATCTACAGGAACTTCTATCAGCAGGAGTTATCAGACCTTCGCATAGTCCTTGGGCATCTAATGTTGTTTTAGCAAGGAGGAAGGATGGCCGCCTGAGGATGTGCATAGATTTTCGCCAGCTTAATAATCGGACAGTTAAGGATTCCTATGCTTTACCGCGCATTGAAGAACTGTTAGACTGTTTGGGTGGGATGAAATTCTTCTCTGTGCTGGATATGAAAAGTGGATATCATCAGGTTGAACTTGAGGAGGCACACAAACAGAGGACAGTATTTACCGTCGGTCCACTCGGATTTTTCGAATATAACTGGATGCCCTTTGGATTGTCCAATGCACCAGCCACGTATCAAAGATTAATGGAACAGTGTCTAGAAGGCCTACATCTCAAGATCTGTTTAATTTACTTGGACGACCTCATCATATTCTCAAGGACATATGAAGAACATGTAGAACGGTTGGAATTGGTCTTCCGGAGACTTGAGCAGTGTGGACTTAAACTTGCTCCTAAGAAGTGCAAGTTCTTTAAGCGCAAAGTCCGATATGTTGGATATATTGTCTCTGAGGATGGTATTGAGGCTGACCCAGATAAAGTAGAAAAGATTAAAGACTGGCCAACACCAACAACTCCAGAGGATGTCCGACGCTTCTTGGGATTCGCTGGCTACTACAGAAAGTTTGTCAAAGATTTCTCAAAAATTGCAAGACCATTGTCAGAGCTTATGCCCAAGACTGGATCCAAGAAGTCACGTCAACAAACTAAGAACGTTGATTGGAATTGGGGACCTGTCCAAGAGGATGCTTTTAAGACCCTGAAGACAAGACTTACTACACCACCGGTGCTTGGTTATGCCGATTATTCAAAGCCTTTTGAATTGCACACTGATGCTTCCACACAGGGTTTAGGCGCTGTTTTATATCAACGACAAGAGGACCATCTGCGTGTCATTGCGTATGCAAGCCGGAGTTTAACTCCTTCTGAAAGAAACTATTCAGCAGATAAACTTGAGTTTCTATGTCTCAAATGGTCAGTCTCTGAGAAATTCCATGACTACCTGTACGGACATCACTTTGAAGTAGTGACAGATAACAATCCTCTCACCTATGTCCTGACTACTGCTCGTCTAGATGCAACAGGACATCGATGGCTTGCAGCCCTTGCAAGTTACAACTTCAGCATAAGGTATAGACCAGGTTCAGCCAATACTGATGCAGACACGCTGTCTCGTTTACCCGGTTGGAATGAATCAAATCAGATGGGACAGATTCCTACCGACTCTGTTAATGCCATTTGTGGAGCCATTCATACTACCAACTTAGTGGAGAGTTTGTGTCTCTCAGCTTCTTTAGTTGGAGATGAAGAGGAGACCGAGGACAGATGCGATATGAACGCAAGGGACTGGAGGAAATATCAAGCCAAGGACTCTGCCCTAGTTGAAATCATTCAACATCTCACAAACAGAACTAGACCAGATTGATCTCGCTTCATTGGCGACAAGGAGATGATTGCATTACTGAAGAGTTTCAATCATTTCAGGCTGAAGAGAGGAGTGCTATACAGAGTGATCAGTGTGGATGGGGCTGAGCAGGAGCAACTGGTTCTTCCATCTAGATGTCGTGAAGCAGCTCTGCATAGTCTACATGACAACATTGGCCACCCTGGCAGAGACAGAACAATTTCCCTATTACGGGATAGGTTCTACTGGCCAGGAATGACCAAGGACGTCGAACTTCATTTGCAGAAGTGTGCACGATGTCTGCGACGAAAGACAGCTACTACAAGCCGTGCTCCACTAGTAAACATTCAGACATCACAGCCACTAGAGTTAGTGTGTATGGATTATCTTAGTTTGGAACCTTCCAAAGGTGGACAACAACATGTTCTGGTAATCACTGATCATTGCACACGCTACGCTCAGGCATATCCAACCAAGAATATGACAGCAAAGACCACAGCTGAAGCTTTCTTCAACAATTTTGTTGTACACTACGGATTACCAAGGAGGATTCATTCAGAACAAGGTGCCAACTTTGTTGGGAAGCTGATGTCAGAGTTATGCCAAATGTTAAAAATCGACAAGTCACGTACCACCCCTTACCATCCTATGGGCAACGGAATGTGTGAACTTTTTAATCGCACACTTTGCAACATGCTTGGTACTTTGGATCCAGACAGCAAGAAGAATTGGAAGGCACATGTAGGTCCATTAGTCCATGCTTACAACTGTACCCGCCATGAGACAACATCACTATCTCCATTCTTCTTGATGTTTGGGAGACCTCCTCGGTTGCCAGTTGACCTCGCATTCGGACTTGATATCGATCCTGGAACATTTAGGTCAAGGTTGGATTATACCAGATCTCTAAAAGAACGTCTAAAACGCGCCTACGATGTAGCTTCATCATCAGCAAGAAAGGCTCAGTCTAAACAGAAGACCTATTATGATCATAGGGCCAGAGCTGCAACAGTAGAGCCTGGGGACAGAGTTCTGGTGAAGATCGTTGCTTTCGATGGGAGACACAAACTGGCGGATAAATGGGAAGAAGATGTCTATGTCGTTTTGGATCAACCTACTCCTTCCATACCAGTGTATGTTCTTGGTAAGGAGAATGGGGAGGGGAAGAAGAAGACAATACATCGGAATCTCCTGTTGCCAGTTGGGTCTCTTCCACTTCAAGAAATACCAGTTCCAAAGCATAGAAAACCTAGGATAACTTCACCTGAACCAGAATCAGCCACAGAAAAACCTACCCCAGTTCCAAAGCCTAGGAAACAGAGAAAAAATTCACCTAAACTTGAACCGGATCCTGTTACATCTGATGAGGATGAAAATGGAGATGAGTCGGTCATCTATGAATATCCTTCACGTACTTCAGTGTCTGCTGACGATGCAGCTGACAGGCCAGCTGAAGATGAGACAGAACAGGCACCAGACTTGGGAGACGATAATTCTGTCAGAGAAGGAGAAGAGATTGATGACGCTGACCGTGACTCGCATGGACGGAATACATCTCCAGAAGAGATTGATGACGCTGACCGTGACTCGCATGGACGGAATCCATCTCCAGAAGATGTTGACGACGCCGGCCGTGACACCCATGGCAAGAATCAGTCACCAGACCATCTGATACTTACTGTAGATACAGAAGAACATCAAGAACCTCTACCCCAGATGCAGACTCCTACTCCCCAACCACGGCGGTCTACCCGAGCTCGGACACAGCCTAGGTGGATGTCAGGAGGAGAGTTTGCCTTCTCTGCAGTGGCTCAACCGGATTGGCTTGTGCGAGCTAACTACCTCAGCTCACTCTTAGCTGAGGGCGTATTTGGCAGCCACCAACACAGAGCATCAGATGCTATTTTGGATCTCATCACCGGTAAAGGAAAATGACGAGGACGACATTTCCTTGTAGGGGGGAAGTGTGTGGCAGATACATATTATTGTATTATATAGTTATGTAAATATTAGTTTTAAGTCATTTAAGTGTTGCATTGATATTTGTATAATGACAATTGCATTATGAATTGCAGGTGTATTATTTCCGATTTTAACTAATGAATGTATTTTTTTCTATCAACAGGTTTGGTCAATTTTGATACAGGCTATAATTATAAGGACACAGAAGGTTGAGTCTATTATTAGCTCTTTAGTTAGTTTCATTCTAATATGATTAAGGGTAGATAGGTAGGACTACCACATTATTACGTGGCCTGATTTAATGAACACCGATTGGATCATTCAAACTCTTGCCCTCTTTCCTAATTCAAAGCTGCACTTCACAGTCACTCTTTGCACCATCAGGATTGTAATACCATGGAGTCATAAACAAATGCAAATACCTCACAGGTTAGTTTAATCTCTTACATTGGTTTATGAGTGTGTACACTTTATATGTTATATTTGTATTGTGTGGATATAAATAAAACAAGTAAATTCAACCTTAATAATGGTAAATCTAACCTAAATGTAAATAACACTTCAGTCAGGTTCTAGTGCATTTCAGAGTATAGAATCAATACAAATAACTATCAAATAACTCATATAATTCATTCAGGTAATAATATTTTCCCTATGAGTGAATTGTGGCATGTTTGAGTGTTTGATTTACTGATTTCATATATGAGAGGAAGAATAGTGTATATGTGAATGTAAGTACGAATGTGATTTTAGCCTAAGTTGTTTTGATGTGTTCCAGGTGTTGGTAATGATAATAGCTATGTTGATTTGTGGTTACTGTAGAATTAATGTTGCATATTGTTTACACGGATTTTAGGTACGCTTGATATGTCTGGCTGAGCTTGGTGAACGTCGTGTGCACCCTAGTGCCATACACCGGGTAGGAACTATGCTATTTTGCATCCCGTATGTTTATGTGATACTGAGTATCACATCTATTCTATTTGATATGCGTATTACCTTAAGACGTCTGTGTCATATTTAATTTGAAGATATTTTGAAGATATGAGTTAATCAAGGAGTTATCTCCCCTTGTTGTATTGTCATACGATCTGTCATTTATGTTTCACCTAATTTGTGTAATGGACTGTTTTTAAGCCTCAGGTATATTGTATGACGCTGTATATATTGAATGATATATTGTTTCAGGGTGTGTTTAACTGACCGGGAATAAAACGTTCTCACCCCGTAACCAGTGTCTTGGACTTTTGATGTTGCCTCCACACTAAAATCGGTTACACAAGTTACTGTCCGAGCCACTGTTCAAGTTACTGTCCGAGCCTCTGTCCAAGTTACTGTCCGAGCCTCTGTACAAGTTACTGTCAGAGCCGCTGTCCAAGTTACTGTCCGAGCCTCTGTACAAGTTACTGTCAGAGCCGCTGTCCAAGTTACTGTCCGAGCCTCTGTACAAGTTACTGTCAGAGCCGCTGTCCAAGTTACTGTCCGAGCCTCTGTACAAGTTACTGTCAGAGCCGCTGTCCAAGTTACTGTCCGAGCCACTGTTCAAGTTACTGTCAGAGCCGCTGTCCAAGTTACTGTCCGAGCCGCTGTCCATGTTACTGTCAGAGCCACTGTCCATGTTACTGTCAGAGCCACTGTCCATGTTACTGTCAGAGCCACTGTCCATGTTACTGTCCGAGCCTCTGTACAAGTTACTGTCAGAGCCGCTGTCCATGTTACTGTCCGAGCCTCTGTACAAGTTACTGTCAGAGCCACTGTCCATGTTACTGTCCGAGCCTCTGTACAAGTTACTGTCAGAGCCGCTGTACAAGTTACTGTCAGAGCCTCTGTACAAGTTACTGTCCGAGCCACGGTACAAGTTACTGTCCGAGCCATTGTACAAGTTACTATCCGAGCCACGGTACAAGTTACTGTCCGAGCCGTTGTCCAAGTTACTGTCCGAGCCGCTGTCCAAGTTACTGTCCGAGCCTCTGTACAAGTTACTGTCCGAGCCACGGTACAAGTTACTGTCCGAGCCATTGTACAAGTTACTATCCGAGCCACGGTACAAGTTACTGTCCGAGCCGTTGTCCAAGTTACTGTCCGAGCCACTGTTCAAGTTACTGTCCGAGCCGCTGTCCAAGTTACTGTCGGAGCCGCTGTACAAGTTACTGTCCGAGCCACTGTCCAAGTTACTGTCCGAGCCGCTGTCCAAGTTACTGTCCGAGCCACTGTACAAGTTACTGTCCGAGCTGCTGTTCAAGTTACTGTCCGGGCCGCTGTCCAAGTTACTGTCAGAGCCACTGTACAAGTTACTGTCAGAGCCACGGTACAAGTTACTGTCCGAGCCGCTGTACAAGTTACTGTCCGAGCCACGGTACAAGTTACTGTCCGAGCCACTGTACAAGTTACTGTCCGAGCCACGGTACAAGTTACTGTCCCAGCCACTGTACAAGTTACTGTCCGAGCCACGGTACAAGTTACTGTCCGAGCCGTTGTACAAGTTACTATCCGAGCCACGGTACAAGTTACTGTCCGAGCCGTTGTCCAAGTTACTCTCCGAGCCACTGTTCAAGTTACTCTCCGAGCCACTGTTCAAGTTACTGTCCGAGCCGCTGTCCAAGTTACTGTCCGAGCCGCTGTCCAAGTTACTGTCCGAGCCGCTGTACAAGTTACTGTCCAAGCCGCTGTCCAAGTTACTGTCAGAGCCACTGTACAAGTTACTGTCAGAGCCACGGTACAAGTTACTGTCCGAGCCGCTATACAAGTTACTGTCCGAGACATGGTACAAGTTACTGTACTGTTACTTTTCTTGGAGTGTGTGATATATTATTCAATCATTGCGTAAATATTCACTGAATTTATGGAAATATGTTATATGGAATTCGTGTCTTTGAAATTTATGACAATATTAAAGTGCTGGATCGAGTTGAAACTTTGATATCCTCTACCTCCAATAATTAGATAATTTAAGGATTTAAGGAGTTCACTAATATAGCTGTTTTCACTTTTTTCTTTTGTACAATTGCATTTGTTTGTTTGTTGTTTAACGCCGCACTTAGCAATATTCAAACTATATGACGGAGGTCTGTAAATAATCGAGTATGGACCAGACAAACCAATGATTGATATCATCGGCACTGATCTACGCAATTGGGATACGATGACATGTAAGTAGTATAGGTAATGGGGGTTCTGGCTCACTTCCACTGGAGCCGGATTCATATACCTATACTGCTACTACAGATGGAATTTTTTATGCCAAAATGACTATGCAATTCAATGATAGTCATGAGATTAAGTTAAATTGACTCTAGCTCACCAATACCTGGGGCCAATCATTGCTTTAGATGAGTCTAAATGGTAATAAAAATATTCTTCATTATTTTTATCGATAAAGCGATATTCAACATTTTTATTAAGTTCTTCGTTCATTTTACTAGGAGACCAGACTATATAACTACACTCTTTTTGTAAATTGATAAGAAACAATTGATAACCGTATTTGGTTGGTTTGACATCACTGATATAATAAAAACCTTGTGGTAATTCTTTCCATTTAATAGTTTTTTCGATCTCCATTATTATATATATTTATGTAAGCATTTGTCTAAATGTGATCAAACGATAGTAAGCAATCTATTTTTAATCTCCAACCAGTTCTTTGGTTTTGGCACGGAATAATTGACGCGCTTGTTGCCTCCCCTGTTCTATGAACTTTTTTTTCTCGTCTTCGCTAATACCACTGGTCTTACGAGATTTTGATCGAATCTCCTGCTTCATTTCATTGTATTTGGTGAGTTCCGACAGCACTAAACGAAACTCATCCTCGGATATCTTACAATCGGCCATTGCTGTCGAAATATGATCCTCAATGCTGTTCAACTTTGCTTCGGCGAGTATCCGAATACTATCGTGTTTTAATGCTTTCTTTTGTAACCTACGAGAAATGAATTTTATCGCTATTCCTGCCAGTCCCGAGACTCCAGCGGTTATTTCCATGCCGAGCACGATAGGCGCGGCGATTATAGTTGATAGTAAACCGATACCCGCTACACCGAGTCCCATGCCAGATACTACAAGAGCGGTGTCAACTCCGTCCAGAGCATTCACGGCTCTGCGATACTTTTTATACAATCCAAGTCTCAACTCCCTATCCTTCCCTATTCGATGTTTTATGTCGCTTATTTGATGTAATCGAAATCCATCAACAGTTTCCATCTTTTCAAATGCTTCACCGAGCGCCGGATATAAACTCATAGTGTATATTACGTTCATATAATAGTCTTTAATTGGTCTTGCTTAAATGTTTTGAGACTATACATCAATCTTATCAAATGTATATTATACGGCAATAATATCTTAGAAAGAGAAATGCTGTCACTTTTAATAATTTGGACCCCCTCGAGGGTTGCAATGGGCGGTGCTCCGATATGAATAATACTGCAACGTTGACGCTCGTGTTTCTTGAGCCATTTAATCGATAGACCTGGTAATATTTCGAAGGCATCTTCCGGTGCATCTCCGAACAAGACTTCAATAATAAGCGTAGAAAGATTAGGTATTGCACTCAAGTTAACTTTAATATCTTCGAATTCAGTAACCAAATTTAAAGTAACATTTTTTAAGGCCGGACGACTATATAACATATGACCTGGGTTTTCTGGCAGGGGAGTAACTAACACACTTTTTCGTTTTGACGGGATATAAGCCGCGAGTACGATGCCACTATTTATTATCTTAGTTAAATTATGTCCCTTACCCATCATCACATAAGGTGGGGTAATGACGATATTCAGTAGCCACTCGATGTTTGCTTCGACCATAGTCCATTTATTATCGTCGTTGCGAGTAATATTGTACGAAGTGTTTTTAAGGAGTCTACTAACATCAACATCGCTTAAATCTCCTAGATTACCCGTGAATGTGACTTCTTTCCGATTGTATACATTATCGCGTAAGTGTTAAGCGTATAACTTACCATCGGTACCGGGTTTACCATATCCTTCTATGTCTCCAAGATCGGAAAGCGCAATTGTATTACATTGTCTTACTGTTCCAGGGCCTGATGCATCAACCATTATTTTTAATATGGAGTGTTACACTTAAGTATCCTATATGTACAGGTTGGTGTTTTACATCTAATACAGAAATTTTGAGGTCTGAAATAATACCACACTTCAATTTTTTATATTGTAATGACGAGAAAGATTCCGTTCTACCGCTATTATATTTTTCATTTTTCACTGGAATAGATCTGAGTAGAGTTGAAGGACTTTCTAGTTGAATATTATCCGTCGTGCTTATTTGATCAAGATGGATGAACAACTCTTTATAGGGAACTAAATCGGGTAATTTAATATAAGGATGTGCACCATCTAAGCGACTAAATTCCTCTCTACCTGGTTGGCCCAATACAATTATATTATTTGCATGGTTGTATTTCACTGTCCCAGTCACCTCATTTTGTGAGAGACTAATTCTATTAGGCTTTAAAATTTCATCATTGAGTGAGCTTACGCTGTAATACCCATCAGGTATAGTAATGGATTTGCTAGTACCAAGTATGGATAATATATTTATCCTATTATTATTTTTTGCAGCATTTATATTGGTCCACCTTGGGTAATACGTTACATCGCATAGAGTGACTTCGAGTTGACCATCCGAGTTATCGATAGTATGAAGCAGTTCAATAGACTGACCATTTGTTATTCCCAGGAGTGTAACATACATATCAAATATACAATGATACTATATCATAACTTAAATATGGAATCAACCATTATTTATAATATGGAGTGTTACACTTAAGTATCCTATATGTACTGGTTGGTGTTTTACATCTAATACAGAAATTTTAAGGTCTGAAATAATACCCCGCTTTAATTTTTTATATTGTAATGTTGAGGAAGATTCCGTTCTACCGCTATTATATTTTTCATTTTTCACTGGAACACTTCTGAGCAGAGTTGAAGGACTTTCTTGTTGAATATTATCTGTCGTACTGATTTGATCAAGATGGATGCACAACTCTTTATAGGGAACTAAATCGGGTAATGCATATACAATTACTGATTCGTTGGGTGCTAATATTACTGGCTGTCCAAATCCAAGTGTAATTGCTAAGTTCTCACCAATAAGTATACCTGTTACTCCAGCGTTTAAAATCAGCGCCCCATTCGACTCATTTTGTGTGAGACTAGCTCCCATAGGCTTAAAAAATTCATCATTGAGTGAGCATACGCTGTAATACCCATCAGGTATAGTAATGCGTTTTTCAATACTATTGCTTTCACCTGGTATAATTATCATATTATTACCTCTCGTAGCACTTATATTGGTCCACAGTGGGTAATACATTACATCGCATAGAGCTACTTCGAGTTGTCCATCCGAGTTATCGATAGTATGAAGCAGTTCAATAGACTGACCATTTGTTATTCCCGGGAGTGTAACATACATATTAAATATACAATGATACTATATCATAACTTAAACATGAAATCGAGATACATTACTAATCAATCGATTATAGTAACTGCCTCTGGTGCTGAATTTTTCGTTAAATTCCCAGATATCTTTGAAAATTACAGGGTCATGGCAACTAGCGATAAAATGGTGCACCACTGGTTTCACAATCCGATGCAATTTTGGCAGAATCAGTTAAACTTTGCCATATGGTGTGCCACAACGGGATGTGGCGTATCTGTTAATGCCCCAGGATATATGCTAAATAAGTCTGTTTTATTATTTCACGTGTATTATCAGATTAGACGTATACTTAAAGAAATTAATGCTCCATTACTGCAGGATCGAGCGTGGAATGCATCAAATGATCCGTATAATAGGGGGGCATATGAACGTATTTGTAATGAATTTAATGTTTCTACGAGTAAAGATTGGCGTATTAAAGGAGCAAACCATGGTCTAGGTGTTCCTTACGCAGATGAAAAAATATCTGTCAAAGAAGAAAGCGATTATGTATATAAAATACTTAATAAACTTCCAGTTAATTTTGGTAAGTTGTATAGCACCAGCAAACTTTAGGCAAGAATATATGATCATTGGCATAAAACCGGTCATTGGTATAAAGGCTGGGAACTTTATAGTAACGATTGGAGAGGGGATATTATGAGTTTTAAGAGTGGTTTAATTTATATTGTTAAAAAATTTATACAACTGAACGATGATGCTTGGAATGAATTTCTTAATGATAAAACGGAAAATAATTTTACTAACCCAGGATTTGTAAGAGTTAATGAATCGATAAGAACTTATGTTTGGGCAATTCTCGGAGCGCAATCGCAAACACGAACGTCAATCATAGGTACTGGGACGGCGTTCGATGCGCAAAAACAGTTTGTCTCAAACGTGGAGGACGCCATTAATTCACCAGTTGACATACCATCGTCCATAAAGCGTTTTCAAGATGCATTACAGTACGCTCAATCCAAAGTGGACTTCGTTTATGCGCCGGGACTATACATGTCTCCGAGTAATATGGAACTTAAGATCGGTCAAGTGATAGGCTATAACAATAAAATTGTTATCGCTACCGATCAACAAAAACCAGGTATAAATTCAGATATTAATGTCGAATTAATAACGCAAACGATCACGGGCGAAAAGGGAATAGTCAAGCCGCAAACACCAACTATCGCTCAACAATCTTTTAATGCACAACCATCTACTAATTCTCAAACATCTACTAATGCACAAGTACCACCGCATATTGAGGCTAAAAATCAACAACATATCGATGAAAAAA